CAAAGGCAAAAAACATACATAGGTTATTAGACTGTAAGGCATAAACAAGTTAGTATCATGAATGTCTATGGGGAAAAAAAACCCAAAACCTTCAGCTCTGTGGTAACTCTTTACAAACTAAAAGCTCTAATAGAAAAGCCTTCCCACATCAGTTTGACATCACCATTCCCAACTATTTGTGTGACCTGTCAGAAAAATGTTATTGTTTCTGCAGCAGAATTGGCAAAGGCACAAGAGTCACAATCTGGCCTACTTGCTGAAGCTGCCCAAGGCAAGCATGCTTCCTGCACATAAACACACAGAACTGGAGGTTTATGTACGAACTGCACTAGAGCAGACTTCTATGCCTTCCTAATTATTCCGTGATGATCCTTTTAAGATTAAGTACATCACACAGTGATCCTGCTCTCCTCCTCTTCCCTGGTCTTCTGAATCACCAAGAATTAAGTTTTACAGCCACTATAGCAGCCTGCTTTGCTCCTACTCTCAAAGTTTATACTGGCATATTTGCATGGGTTTGTTTTATGTTTTTTAAACTTAAAGTGGGACAGAATGGGAAGTTAAAAAGGTTTTTCTTCTTGGCATGGCTAAGCTATGGTTAAGTGGAAAATAATTTTGTCTGAAAAAAGGAGGAGAGTTCTACCCATCGAACCAAACAGTAGTAATAAACTTAGGTCACAAAACTCGTAAGTATTGTTTTTAGTAGAAGTTACAAGGAGAAAACAAATTTGGGAACTAAAGAGGAGATCTAAAGTATACAAACATATAAGTTACCAATCTTCACACAGTAGCAGAGTTCAAAATATGTTTTGAACAGGAAAACCAGGTGTGTTGCTTTCCTGCAAAACTTAAGGATGTCCTGTCCCTTACACATGGGGAAATGGTAAGGAAGCTTCAAGCACTGTCATCCTCTTACTTAAAAGCCTCTTTTAAAAAACCACACAGATCAGCTACTAATGTTGGACTCAACATTACTAGCCTGCCCAAACTCTTCTATCTACATAAAGGTTACCAAGGTCAACTTGTGTCCACCTGAATGCAACAACATACTGCAATTATGTACCTAGCTATCAAGGTAGAAGTACATTGCATTATCTTCCTTCACATCAAGACACTTAAAATCCTTAATAACTGTGTCTGAATAAAGATCTTATGCTCTGTGGGGAAAAGAAAACAACAAACCAAAACAGAACAGAACAGGAACTGTGTCTTTCTTTGGGTTCATATAGCTCAGCATATACATATCAAGCTTAAGTAAACAGACAAATTGAATTGTTTCTGTAGCAGAGGTATGAAAACTTACAGGCAAACCAGGCTTCTACACTGAATCTGTATTTGCCTTTGGAAGAGAGGTATGCACTAAGTGACCTCTGGAGGCACCTTGTAATCCTGCTTAAATTAATTAATCACAGATTAAATATTATGCTTCTTTAACCAAGTACTACAGTAATATTGAGCTCATGATGAAGGAACACCACCTCCTCCTCCCACGTATGAGCATCACTCTCCACAGTGTTATGTAAAATGTCAGTGTTTCAGTTCATATTTTATACAGGTAAAATAGACGTATTCAAGGAATATCTGAAACCTTTATATTCCTACTTACATTAACACAGAAGCTGGTTCTGTAAAGTCTTTGCTGTGTTGTAAGAAATGTCATCTCCTGTGACTACCGCAAACAATTCTGGTAATTTTCATGCAGTAAAAGGACCTAATTTTGATAATACAGACTTGCAAGTTCTTACTCCAAGTGTTTTTATGGTTTTCTTTATACTCTGCACCACACAACCTTTGCTTCAGATGTGCCTGCACAGTACACGTGCATTTACTGCTCTTCTCTTCAAAGTAGGTAATCAAGTTCATGAAGTCAAGAATCAAGAGAAGTTTTGTAATGAATGCAAGACACATACATGACAGCTTACTAGCTTCTACAATCACTATCTGACCAGCAGAACCTTCTCCCTTCTTTCTCTAGGTACGTATGCATTAATGTAAATGAGACAACAACAATCAAATAACTTTACCAATCAGTAACCTGACCTGTAAGTTTTTGAGGGGAAGAGAAAACTGTTGCTTTAAAAAAACACCAAAACCAAAAAAACCCCACCCACAAAAACAAACACACACACACACCCCCAAATGCAAACAAACAAACAAATTCACCACCGTGAATTTAATTTCAAACAGGAAACACTTATTTTATCACCATACCTCTTCAATGCCAGCAATGTTATTTACTGCCAGTTTTTTGAGGGAACTCTGAAGTTTTTTGTCATCAGCTGTAGCTGTTCTGTGCACCACCTTCTTCTTTCTGCGAGCTGTTCCCTGGAAAAGAATCAAGACACAACAGTCAGCTATTCTCAAAATCTCACAACACTTTAATTTTTCAGTCATATCACACTCTGAGCAACCTATCTGTAAGCTATGAGAAAGCTCTGTAGTCAAAAATGCTTTTCAACTTACTTTGCCTTCACCGACAGCTTTAACTGTCAGTCTCAATTTTAATGCTTAAGTGTAAAAGACCAAAAAGACACTGAACAGCAGCACTATTTTTCCCTTCCCACAAGCTAGATTATAAAAATACTATTTACTATTAAGCAATATATAAAGAGTTTCCCCAAGAACTTTATTTTTTCCAAGAAGAAGCACAAATACAGTGATTTAAAAAGGTCACACTTTCATAACCAAGTAATTAACATTTTTAAACTGTTCCACAGACAGCAATTTTGGAATTCCTACTCTGCCAACTTTTGTACAACCCAGCCTACGGTTAGGAGATGAACACCCACACTGAACAAACTTTATGCTTTTTTTTGTCATATTAGCTACCTGCTGGCTCAGAGAAAAGAAACAGCTCAGTGCAAAGTCAGATAAGCCCTGGAGCTGGCACAAAGGAAGAAACTCCCCAACGGAGAAGAGGAAGGCAGAACTGGAACAACCAACAGGTAAGTTTAGTTTGAGCTTTCACAGGTCGCAACAAGTCACTGAATTAAAATGAAAGCTTACACACTGTGGAAACTACTCATCCAGCAGTTGTGACCTGAAAGAAAGTTGCATTTCGGGGAGCAGTGCTACAATCCAGATGACACAAAACATGTGTTTTTCAGGCCTCACACATATGTATTTTCTTCCTCTGTCCCATGAACTAAAGCCTATGTTTTGAAAAACAAATTCCAGAGGTGTTTCTCCTTCAACCTGTAAGTTACAGGAAACAGTGCATCTCTGATGGTTTTCTTACCTTTCCTCCTATTCGGACCTGCGCTTGAAGCTTGGCCAATTTTTCTTGGTTCATAGTGCTGCGTCTAAAGAATAAGAATGAGATACAAGTACAAGTTAAATATCAAAATATTAAGAAAAAGTTTTCCACGGTCCATTTTAAAAGTACTCTTAAAACCGCAATGGGTTTTTAAATTTTTAAACTTACAGACAATTCGCCAAAACAGTGCATCAAACAAATACACATAAACAAAAAGCTTTAAAGCCACACCACCTAAATAATACAAAGTGGTGCAGCAGCAGTCTGTTTAGCTGAAGTGTCTGTACCATGATGAGGCAAATCAACGGGACATTTGATTTTGCATCAGTCTGAGGTACTAACTGTGAATTTCCAAGTATGCTAGTTTACTGTTGGAACCATTTGACCGAACTACTGACTCAGAACAGACCCAAATCAGCACGTACAGCATGAGTGCTTCTAGGAAAACACCTTTATCTTTAAAGAGCCCAGAGAGAGACTCATCACTACACTACTTTGAATACTATTTTGATCCTTTTAACTAATAAGCCAGCTCCGAACTCAGTGAAGTTCATGTCTTGACAGATCTCCTATATAAACCTCTGGCAGCTATTAATCCAATTCAATGACTGGGAAGTTAGTCAAGTGGCTTCTCCTACGGGTCAGGTGGGACCTTTAAAGGCTGGAAGACTTGAAAATCTGTAATGAGTGAAAAAACACCTCGAGCCTTCCAACTCAAGGAAGGCATTTCGCTGCTCTGCCCGAAGAAGTCATCAGGGACCCCCTGAACGAAGGGGAAACCCCCTCTGCATTTGCATTATGCCGGGGAAGCGACGGGGAGGGGTAGACGGGGCTCCCGCGGGCAAGCAGGAACCCAACGAGGCCCCAGCACCGCCGGGAGGATCACCACACGGACAGGGACTCCGCCGGGGAGAAGGGACTCAGGCCGGCAGGGCGGCTCGCTAGCTACCCGCAAAGCACGGAAAGCGGGAGGGGATAAAGGCCCCGTCCGTCGGGAGCCAGGGCAATCCCGCCCGGCCGGGGCACCGCGGCCCCAAGGGAGAGTCGCCGGCCACCCAAGCCAGGGCAGACCCCACCACACCGCGTCCCGGCGCACGGCCTCGCTCCCGCGTCCTCTCCTCGGGGAAGGGCCGGCGCTCGCGGCCCCACCACGGCCCAGCGCGGCGGACGGGGACAGAACGGCGCCGAGCTACCGCGACGCCCCGCCCGCCCCACGCCGGGAGACGGCAGGGGAAGAGGGGGCCATGCCGGCAGAACGGTGCCGACGGGCGCGGGGAAGGTCTCACCTGAGCCCGGCGGATCCTCCGCAACCCAACACGCGGTGAGAACAAGATGGCGGCCAAGGAAGGAAAGAGAGGCGCACAGAGAAAGGAAGCTTCGCGCCACGTGACGGCGCCAGACCGCCCGCGGATTGGCGGCGCGCCGGAGTCACATTTGCATAGCAGGAGGGAGGAGGGACGAGGGCGCAGGGCGGTGCGCGCGCGACGCGCGGTGCCTCCTGGGAGTTGTAGTCTTCGGGGGCTGGCGGGGACGGGTGCCTCGGGGCAGGGACCGATGCCGGGTCACCCAAACCCGGGTCGCGTCGGCTCCAAACGTGTCACCACGCACTTGGCGCGCTCTCCCCATTTGCGAAACGTCCTTCATGCACGAGTGCTTGCGCTCGGTTTTACCTTCCCAACCAGCTGGGCAACTCTTGAGAGCAGCGGGACAAAAGGATTTATTTGGGAGGAGAAAATCAAGCCGGAACCCACCCCTCGCTGCCTGCTCCCCCCTCGCTGCCTGCTCCCGCCGGGGTAACTCTTGATTTTGTTCAGGAGAGTAACCAGGGGTTTGGGGACCCGGTGTGACTGAGGTACTCCTGCCCCAGAGGCCTCGGCTACCTGCACGCAGCCGAGCTCCTCTGACCGAGAGGGAAACGGCGGACCCCACCCTCAGAAGGCCGGGGAGAGAATTCCCCACAGCAGCCCCCTCCC